TTTTCTGGGTCTTTCACAGTCTGACTACAATCTCTTCTTTCTAACCTTGCTTGATGATGCTTCCCTTCACACATTTTACACTGCAGCAAAACCATTTTACAAGCTGTTGCCCATAGCAATGAACTTCCCTTGCCCCTGCATTTGCATAATCTATCCCACAAACACAGAATGTACTCCCTCTTCATCTCTGTAAGAAAGCACCATTTTCCTTTATGATTCAGCTCTGGTACATGTTTTCTGTGAATGCTTTTCTAAGCTCTATAGCTGTCAGAGTCATTTCAATGAAATCTTAGACATGGATCTACTTTTCTTTCTTGGCTTATAAGATGGAGTCATTGAATCTCAAGGACTTATTTTAATATCTTTTTTTTTCAACCAGATCTGGGATTTCATAGCATTCTATATTCCTGATAAGAAAACTCCCTCTTTACCAAGACAGAGCATCACCTGATCTTGTGTGTGTAGTCTTAGAGTTGCCTGTGTTCAAGTGGTGACCCCGACACAGATGATGTGTTTAACACAGACAAATCACTTAACTTCTAAGTCGCCTAAACAATTCTCTAAGATTTATAAGATAATGAAGAAAAAGTAGTGTCACATATGAGAATCTGTTGAAATAAAGTGATTCTTGCAACTGGAGTCTCAAGAGATATATACGTGTCCTCACAACTTATTCAATTTTAAAATCCATTCTGTTCTTATCTCACAAAACTATGATTTTCTTTTACTCATTGATAAAATCACCCCAGGGCCAATCTATGTGTCCCAGGATTACACTAAACACAAGACAAGAAAAGTCTATTTATGCAGGGTTTATTAGAGAAAAGAGGAGCCATACCACACAACAAGATTGAGGAACATACAAGAAAACTCAGAACTCTATCCAAACTCTCTTCTCCAAAATTCTGGTCTGTTCTCCCCTCTTTCTTTTTCTTTTCATGTCTCTCTTCTTCTCTCTCCCTATCTCTTTCTCTCCTCCTTTCAACCTTTCTCCCTTTCTCTTTCTCTTTGCCCCTCTTTTTCATCATCCTTCCCCCCCCAACAAAAGGCATTTATATAAATTCTGAACAAATGTATTCAGAAAGGATTTAACTTCAACCTACAGGACAGATCTGCATATAAGGAAAGGATGACAGTTCTCAGAAAGAAATCACAGGATCACAGATTTAGAGATGGAAGGGGACAGATAGGCTCTCTCGTCCAACCACCTCACGGGCAGATGAAGAACTAAGGCCCCCAGAGATTAAGTAATGTTTACAAAGTCGAGCAAGTAGTATAAGTGATATGAACAAAAGTTTTCTAAAACTGTATATTATTTGGAAGGTAATGAAGTGAGACAAAGAAGTGAACATATTACTTGCATAACACAGACCAGTCCATTTAGCCTCTCTGACCTTGCTTGCTCATCTGTAAAATGGGAAAAATAATATTTGTACTACATACCTCATAGGGTAGTTGTGAAGAAAACACTTTGTGAACCTTAAAACACTACATAAACATGTTATTATTATTTTCACCATAGGCCTATCTGGAAAGTAACTTATTTCAGTGAAAAACAGCTTATTTAGAAAGAATAAGTCAGTCCAAACCACTGGCTGGTAACATGCTAGCAAAGACCCTTAAGGAATTTTCTGTAGAGATTTGTTCATGTGTATCTTATAAACTATGTAAATGAGAAGTATAGGGATTAGTTTTCTATTTCCACTGGGAGAAAGAACACATTTTAGAGTATTTGTAATTTCCATCATATGCCCCTGGGCACTAACTGAATCAATACACACAAAAATAAGTTTTTCAGTATGGTTCTGAAGAATAATTGGACACAAGTAGCCCTTTGAATCAGATTTTTTTTAAAGCTGCTCTTACAACTATATCAATTACAATACAAGGGAATTTCAATATTGGGCCCCTAAAATGTTTCTGGGGAGATCAGTTTAATATGTTACTCATCAGATTGCAAGGGCAAATTGTTTAAAGATCATATTGATCTTGCTCTACCTTTGCTGATGTAACCATGGTTCAGTCAATTTGTCTTTTCAGGAGATACTGGTATGGAAAGATGCTTTTAGCTAAGACTGGCATGGTGTCAGCCTTTCATTTATTACATACAAGACCTGAAGATCTTAATCACAGGATAGGAGTTCAATATGAAGATCAGCTTTCCTATAACAAAACAATAACCGTAAAATAAAAAATATGTCTCTGCTGGGAGAAGATTCACTTTTTACAGCAGCTTGGTGCTACTTTAAATTACAAGCAAGATGACTGCATTAGGATCAGAATTAAAGCAAACTAGTGCAAGGAAGGGCTGCCAAGCAGGAAGGAAAAAGTGGGCCTGAGTTCTTGCCTTAGATATTTAGCACTTGTGTGGCCCTGGGCAAGTCATTTAGCCTTTCTGAAGTTGTTTCCTCATATGTAAAATGAAAATGATAGAAGAACCTGTTTCATATGGTCATTATGAGGAGAACACATATAAAGTGCTGTCCAAGCCTTAAAGAATTACATAAATTCTATTACTAACATAATATTTTATTTTGTTCTTAGACATAAAGAAAAAATGTTTTCTAAATTTAATCCTGAAGTCACATTAGAAAATAACAGTCTTTAAAGATATTCATTAATTTTCATTTCAGCCAATCAATATGTATGTATTTATTAAGCACTTACTGTATGTCAAACACTTTACTAGAGATAGATAAAAGTAAAAAAATCCCCACCCTCAAAGAATTCAAATTCTAGTGGACAAAACAACACACACATATGTATATGAAGAAAATATTCAGATAAATATAAGATAGTATGGGGAAGGAGGGACTTCATAGATGAGAGGATGAGGAAAGCGTTCACGCAGAAGGTGCCATTTAAGCTAGTCTTTAAGAGGGGGTACCATGAATAGGAAATACCAAGCAGGACCAGAAAGGGAGGAAGGAGCCAGGTTTGAAGAAATTTAAATGCTAAACAGTGGAGTTTATATTTGACCTTAGAGATAATAGCCATTGGAGGTTATTGAGTGGGGTATAAGATGATCAGGTTGTCACTTTAGGAATATAACTTTCACAGCTCTCTAGAGGAAGAGTGGTGGTAACCTTGGCAGTAATAAACAATTTGAAAAGAGAGAGGAAGACTATAGATGCTACTGTAATTGAAGCCATTGTAATTGGGCCTCCACTGAAGCCTGAGGCTGCAATATTAGGGAGTGAGATATGAGTTATACTAATTTGACTCCAGATTGAAAAAATGCTGAGGCTATACTCTGGATCTTTGTGAGGGGTGGAATTTGTGCCAAAGCCAGGAAGAGAAAGCAACATGGCTCTAGACACTCTCTTGGAGACATACCATAACATCTTAAGCTTCAGACATTTAGGGGAAGCCAGCTCTTCAGCTTGCCCTGATATCTAGCTTGCTTCCGTAGAAACTTTGGGGCTATTCCTTGGGTGAAATCAAGGCCTCTCTCTTGGTTTGAGCTGAGATATCTCATTCCAACTGGAAGACTTTTTCCCTCTTGAATACTTTCTGGCTTATTCTAATCTGTAAAACTTTTCTGTTTGATGCTTTCTTGGATCAATGAGGTTACTCTATTTGCTATTTGTGACAGTCTTTTGTACAACCAGTTTGGTGCAAAGGAGCCAAGTTGGTGTGTAAGCTAAGGAAGGGGTAGGAACTAGAAAATTAGCTTTTGTTATGAACAAAACTGGTACCCCTAGACTAGCAATATTCTTTTTGGTGGGGGAAGCTAGAAAGCTCTGTCGAGCTCAAAACCCATAATCAAGGAAGGACCAACTGCCTAGCTTCTCTTGCTTATAGACTCCCTTGGAGAAGGTGGGCCAGAATCCAGAGATATACATTCATGCCATCCCTAAGCTGCTCATTTATCTTTTTAGACAATGAATGTGGACACACGCAAATCTTGCGCTATGAGCCTATTCCTCATATTTCAGCATGGAACATCTTCAAATAAATAAGTCTTCACAAAGACCTATGAATAGAGAGTAGGAATGGTTTTAGTGAAAATGAGTAGAAGGTAAAAACCAATAGGAATAAAATTCATGGAAGAAGGAGGAAATGAAAGAGGATTCATATTTTGGGAATTTAAGATACTCTTAGTTTCACTATGGAAAGACTTCAAATTGTTACCCCTAGAGGTAAGTTAGATAGATCAGGGTAATTATTAGCAAGATTATTGCAGTTTATAGAGGTGAGCAAATAAATATCAAAAATCTTAAATAACCTACAATGTCTTTATGTTTTACTTTAAACAAATCATTTCTTAATTCTAACTCCTCCCATTTTGTGAATTATATTAAACTACTATTTTCTTCTCTCATTTGGATGTAAATCATTATTAGTCTCTCATAGGTGGCTATTTGGTATGGCAGATAAGATATTGGAGGTATTTGGAGTCGTCAAGTCCTGACTTAAACACCTATTTGTTGTGAGATCATGGGTAAGTCATTAATGTCTCAGCTCCTCAGACAACTTACTGAGATTATATATGATAAATTATATTAGTGGAATAAATTTCCATGTGGAGGGTTACTCTCAACATTGAGATTGCAGGGGAAGGAAAGAAGGAAAGAGAAGGAAGGAAGGAAGGAAGGAAGGAAGGAAGGAAGGAAGGAAGGAAGGAAGGAAAGAAGAAAGGAGAAGGAAGGAAGATGGAAGGAAGAAGGAAGGAAAGAAGGAAGGAAGGAAAGAAAGAAAGAAAGAAAGAAAGAAAGAAAGAAAGAAAGAAAGAAAGAAAGAAAGAAAGAAAGAAAGAAAGAAAGAAAGAAAGAAAGAAAGAAAGAAAGAAGGAGGGAGGAAGGGAGAGAGGGAAGGAAGGAAGGAAGAAAAGAAGGAAGAGGAAGGGAAGGAGGAAGAAAGAAAATGTGGCCCAAATCATCTACATAAGAAAGTTTTGCTCCCATGTAACATATTTTATTTTTTGTCTAATTGAACAAATCAATTCTTGTATCACCCTTAAAACTCTGAAGTGTATACATCATAAATGCACTGGTTACCTTTCAAAGCCAATCTGACGAAATGTCTTTTCCCATGTTGAGCCTAGGAAAAGAAGAAGAAAAACTGATTTAAGTACCCTTTATGTTGGACATTTCATTTTGTTTTTTAGCCCAATAAAGAGATAATTAAGACCTTATGACATACTTTAATTAGTCTGCCCATTTATATAACAATATTAGTTGCTAAAGCTTAGAGGAACAGATATAATTATTTAAAAATGCTATTTAAATCACTTTAACATCTTTTTGAAATAATGGTAGATTGAATAAAAGAAGACTGAATATAAGGTAATAATAACATTGTGAGTTTAAAAAAAAAAGAAATGATTTAATGTCTGAGTTTCTACCAGAAGTGCCTTATTCTAAAATGCAATGTGATACACGATGTCAAATCATGTAAAAAAGACACTACTGTGTTATGTCTCTCTACCCTTGTTTTTCCTGATGCAAAGCAGTTGGCTACTTTGAAAATTATCTATAAATCTAATTATGGCCCTAGTAGTGTAACATGATCCATATTATTTTGTAAAAAAAATAATAAAACTCACTGAAAATGCAAATGTAAACTATATAACTGAATTCTTTAAGTTTTAATTTTAAATTTAATGTAACTGGCAATATATTTAATGACTGATGTCATTTGAAAGCTGAGGAGCATTCTTTGACATATCAATATGATCCAGTTTACTTTACTACTTCAATTATTTTAATACTTCAAGGTATGCACAATTTCTTCAGTATTGCTACTTCCTCTACTAATATTACCCCTTCTATATATGAAGAGATGATTTTCATGACAGGAGGAAGTGAAAACAACTGATTAACTAATAGCCAGTTCTCTGATAATGTTGAATTCTTTTGAAATTAGATTTCTCCTCAGAAATGTAACACAAAGGCCTTCTCTGGGCCCTTACTCAAAGAATTTCCAACTTCTTAGGAATTATTAGGGGTGTTTTCTGCTGGAATAGCCTTTAAGAACACACGGGCACCTCAGTATCGGAATAGAATTCCAGCAGTGAGGACTCCTTTATTTCACTGATATTAAGTAATGATAATACTCATTTTTTAGGTTAACTATTCTGAATCAGATGTTTTCCAGAGGCAATGGCTGTTTCAAAGAGCATTAATCCTTCTATCTCTATGCCTTTTTTATAGGTGAGTGCCCCCACCCTCTGCCTCATAGAATCTTTACCTTCCTTCAGTTTACTTCAATGAAAACTACCCATATTCCAAGAATTTCATGATTTCCTGCCCTCCCAATTGTTAGTGCTTTCTCTTATTTGAATTTGTTTTCATTACATGGTATTTGCTATCTACATTCATTTGCAGCCCCCAGCAGAAGGTAAGCTTCTTAAAGGCAAGGAATTTTCATTGTTTTTGCCTGGACAACCCTAGAGCCTAACACAGTGCTATGTATCTTAGAAGGTACTTAAAATATCACAACTGAATTTATCAGCAGTATGTCAAAATCAATAGGAAAAGAATCTATGCTATATTTTAATGTGTCTACTGTGTTTTTTACCATTGGAAGATAAAGTTAATTCTTTATAATACTAATATGAACTGACTCTGTGACTACTTAGAATTTGGCAAAATTATTTTTTCTAAAGCTCACCTTAATATTAATGTTCAGGTTTGAGAGATGGCAAAATTCAATAAAATAAACATTTATGTTAAAATACAGCATAACAGAAATCTATGTGTTTAAGGGTAGAAATAGTGATTCAGTAACATTTTGCCAGTTGAAAGGTGATTAAGGGAATCACACAGACTTCTGCATTGTATTAAGCAAGCTACCTATTTAACAATTTTACTAGATTGGCACTTCCTCTCTATACACCCAGATGGCACACCTGGATAAGAAATGAGTCCATATTACTTGTTCACTCTTTAAAGCTCTAGGCCCTGAAGAGATACAAAGAGGAATAATATAGCACCAGGTCTCTGCACTGGTCATTCTATCAAGTGGGAATCTGCCTTTGTTTCATGTTTTGGATAGGTCTCTCCTACAAATCTTCCTGATTTTTCTAATCACTTAGTGACTCCTGGGGCACTATGATTCACTAGAAAAAAGTGCAGAGTGTCAAGTAGGGTAAGGAAATACTAGGACTGGGGAGGGTTATTCTGGTTCTGGAGCTTTACTGGCAGATTCAATTAGCTTTTAAAGCATTTTCTCTGGGTATCCTTTGAAGAACAATTCACAGAATTACAGAATGATAAGGATGACCTTGGAGGTCATAATAAAAACTGCCATTTAGATAGTACTTTAAATTTTGTAAAGCATGATACATCATTTGATCCTTACAACTGCATAGGGAAGGTATTATCACCATTTCACAGATGAGGAAACTGAGGCTCAGAAAAGCTTACTAGCAGGCACACAACTAGAAGCTGTCAGAGACAGAGTCTGAATACAGACTTCCTAATTCCAAGTCCAGCACTCTATCTGGACTGCAACTATACCATCTTACCTTTCATTATTCTAACCCATATCTAAATAAGGATTCTCTCTACAAAGTAACCGACAAGTGGCAATCCAGTTTTTTTTTCCCTTGAAGAATGAGTCCTTATTAAAGAGAACCCACTACCTCTCATTCTACTTCTAAAAGGATCGAATTCTACTGATACTGCCATCTTCTAAAACGCCCTAGGGTGTAATTTTTAAACTGCTACTGCATGCAGCTACATCTCCCCTATGTCCAAAATAGAATTTCTGAACACAAGTCTAAAATTACATTTATTTACTCGAATTTAATCTTATTAGGATTAGTCAATGCTGTAGTCTATAAAGATCTTTTGGATACTTTATTATCCATCAGGGCTTCTAATTCTGTATCCTCTGAAAACATGTGTACTATATATGTCTTTATCTTAGTCACTGACAAAATTGTTAAAAAGCATGGAGCCATGCACAGATCCACAAACTACTTTTCTATGGCCTTCCTACTAAACTGGCATTGAACTATTAATAACTACTCTTGGAATTGGTCATTCAATCAAATCCAAGTATACTTGATCTTATTATGATCTGATCTACCTCTCTTTACCAAATCTACAAGGATACCACGAATGATTTTGTCAAATGCTTTTCTGACACCTAGATAAACCAAATCTATAGACTTCCTCTGACAGTCTAGTGACACTGTCAAAAAAATAAATCATTATTCTTGATAAAGCCATGCTGGCTCTTTGTGACCACAGCTTCTCTTCCAAAATGTTCCTTAACTATCTCTTTAATAATATGTTTGATAACTTTGTAAGAAATCAAAGTCAATCTCATTGGCTTATAGTTTGTACATTCTACTTCTTTTACATTTTTTGAACATGAAAAAATATTTGTAAAATTTTCTGATCCTGAGGTACCCCTACCATTCCCCAGTATTTTTTAAAGATTATTTCTAACGGCTCAGTGATCACAGCATCCAATTCTTTCAATACCCTGGGATGTAGTTCACTCGATCCTGGTGATACGCACTCAAAAAGAACATGTCTTTCTTTTTTTTTTTAATCTCTCTATCTCTTTTTCTTGAGAGTCAACTTTCTAAAACCATTTCCCTGACTTTTCTAGTTAAAAGATTCTTCTGCCAAAGAAAACTGAAGCAAAACAACCATTTAGTAGTTCTGCCTTTTGTACATCTCTTGCTATCATGATTTCAGCTAAACTGAACAATAGTCATTCCCTTCTTCAATCCTCCTTGTTTCTCCATCATAGAAATCCATTTTTGTTATCCTTAGCATTTCCCGTCACCCTCAGCTTATTCTGAGCTTTATTGCCCTATAATTTTTCTTACACGAATATTTCATAATTTGCTGTTGTTGTTGCATGGCCTGCTCTTTCTTGATGGCTTTCTAAGTTTCTAGGGGAACTCCTTGTGTATCCACATTGGTGTATACCAACAACTTCTTTTCTTTTTCTTTGGAATTATTTCTAGTTGTTAACTCAAAATTTCACTTTTGATAGCTTCTCCTCCATGCAGGATTTTAGTTCATGGAGTGCCATATATATCTATTCATTCTCTAAATATTTTAAATCTGCTCTCCAAAAATCTAGGGTGTGAATCGGATTATGTTTGGCTTTTCTCTCCTTTATAACAAATTTTAAGAGGTATGTACACTCACCCTCTAAAAGGTCCATATTATTTGGATTTTAAAAACTTATTCTTCTTTATTCATAAAATAAGATCCAGAATAACAGTTCCCTTTGATGGTTTCTTCAGCTTTTTGGAGGATGAAATTATCAGTAAGATGAGTTAAGAAATTATCAGCTACTGCTTTTGGTTAAGAGACAGAGTTCCAGCAAATGCTGGGATAATTAGAGTCTCATAATTAGTATATCATGCTTCTGTACAAGGCTTATGAAATATTTCCCATCTTTTCATTTCTATGTTCTACTTCTTTTACCCAGGTGGTATTTATTATATTTCTATGAGAATATGGATGCTGTTTCTTCCTCCACTAAACATTAAGAATGTCTGGATATTCATACTTTGGCTAGGAATTAAAATATTTTCATAACATATTTTGACCAAGTTAAAGCATATTTTAACTGACAGGCTTGCATACCGAAAAAATGCATAGTATTAATAAAGAAGTGAGTTCTCTGCCTCTCAGTCTTCTGGCACCAACCTTGATTATTTTTTTTTTAAGTAAACCTCCACCCTGATAGTCATCCAGCCTGGTAACCTCAATATATATTGACACATTCCCTCAAATTCAGTTGCATTTATTGGCATTACAAAGTTAACACAGTGAAAAAAGCTTTTACTAGTAAGTGAGGAAAAATTCTGACTTTTTTTTTTTCTTTTACAGACCACCTGCCTAACTTTGTGCAAGGCTCTTTCTGGGCCTTCATTTCTCCAGTAAGGGGGTTGGATGACATCAGAGGTCCCTTCAGACTAAAAATCTGTGACCTTATGATCTTACATCTTCCCTCCTCTCCATTCACATTGCTAACACACTAGTTGAGGTTCTCATTACTAGTGACCTAGATTATCATAATAGTCTTAATTAGTTGTCTTGTCCCTTTTTTTTCTCTCCTCTAAT